CGCGCCCCCCCTGAAAATCAAGGTGTTAAAAATAAAAAAATTGCAACCAATCTATATCTACTGTCACTTTTCACATTGGACATATGTGCTTTTTTATTAAATAAACTAAACGCTTTCATTTTAAGTTGTGAGTTGTGCCAGATGGATTTTAGGAACTTCCCCTCGATTCTATTGGCTATAACGGTTAAAAAGAGATGTCAATCATCAAAATCGACCGATGGGTTCCAGAGATATGGAAAACCCACCCAAAATGTTTATATAAATCTCTCTAAAAAGGTCAAATGTCATTTGTTTTCCATCAATCTTGACACAGGGTACTTATATGTTATATTTTAGATTCCTAAAGCTTTTAGTCTACTATCCCATCATTCAAGGGTGGTTTTCAATAAATAATGTTTTTCTTTTTGTTCAATCTGAATTTACTTTAAAAAAATAAATAAAATATTGATTCTGACTCTTCTGCATCCAACCCACAGGTTTATCATTGCTTTGAGAAAAAAGATTATTAATTTACCCCTTTTTAGAACTTAAGTTATCGTCATTTGTTCTGGGAATGTCATTTTCGAGCCTGTGGCCTAAAAAACAGGCTGAGGGCTTAACAGGTTAATAGTATTGCTTCTAACTAACCTACTACAATGACGTGGAACCTGTTGACATAATACATTTAATAAAAGTCAATGTTTATTTTTTTTATCGTAGGTTAGTTCGGAAAGCATTAATATAAAGTTTAACCTAATATTTTTTATTTTAACCTAATATTATTGCTTTCAACTAACCTAATACAGTTATCTGAAATCTGTTGACATATATCCATTTCATTAAATGCAACGCTTCAGTTTCAGTGCTACTGTGAATCCTGCAGAGTACTACAGGTTTTTGTTATAGATCCAAAATAAAAAAAATAAAAGTTCACTTGATCACAGCTACAGAAATACATTACAAATTAATTATAGTAAAAAAAATTACATTTGAATTCCCAAGAGATAAGCATTGATCCAGTACAGTATACTGTTGTTGGATGGATGAAAAATGAAGTGACAGCTCTTCCTGTTAATCTCACATCTTTGCAGCTTGTAGGGCATTCCATTTGTCCTGAGCTCTTCATCCATCAGCTTCTGTTCACGGTGTGACAGTGAGTGTGTGTCGTGAGGACATCATGAGGACACAATTGTGACAAATGACATTGTTTATCTTCCGTATTCTATATTTCATGCATCCGAATGATCCAAGATCATGTCTACATTATTTTCTAAAAGCTTAAGGTTTTAGAGACATTATGTGTCTGATAAGTATAAAACAGCGTTCTTCTGCCAGGTGATCCATAACTGCAGTATGTAGAACTTTAATCATTTACTTTTTGCCTCAAGAATTGGTTCAAGATTGGTTCTGACCTACTGGTGGCACAAATTGCATCGTTTGGCATCGCCAACATCTTCTGGATGTATTGCCTAACATCAATGAAGTTCATAACAATCCATTCAACAGTTGATTTGTTTCATCAACAGGCTGGCCACATTTACAATCTATAGTATAACATTAGTGTTTGTGTACTTGCATGTATTAAACACTGTCATCAGACATTCAGAGTGTAAAAGTGTTTTTCTTTCCTTCTATGAATTCATGGACCTTTTACCCTTGAGATACAGGAACATATTTTATTGATCATGAATACAATACCCTTGCGTGGACATGTCTTCAGGCATTTTTGCACCTTCCCTGTGACCATTGCAGGTTAAAAGGGAGAGTGTTTTTCTCTAACCCCCCCTCTAGAGAACTGGTGAGCTGTGCAGCACTGAGGCGGTCATGATGTTTGGAGATACATTATTGTCTAGAAACAAACGGTGTCTTCAAATAGCTCTCTCCTTAATTTGAAAAATGAGCTCACTTTTTCAGCGTTCTCTAGGAGAGGAAATGAAGTACCCTCAAAGGAACATTAAACTACACTCCTGTGTATTCCCTGCATTACATATTCAAAGCATTATTCAATAGAAAGGAAGGCTATTAACTGTGCTGCTTTCCGGGATCTGGTCCAAGTCAGATCAGAATCCTGCTATGGTTAAATCCCCATAAGGGTTCCTGAGACGAGGCTGGCACTCCGTCCCGTTGGCGAGCCGAAGACCCAGGCATAATGACGTCAGGCACGATGGTCCTGTTGGCTGTTTGCTGATAAAACAGGCGGGAAAGCTCTCGGAAAATGTCCTGAAGAATTGCCGTAGAGCTTCATTGGTGAGGTGTATTGTTTGTTTCTCCTCTCTGGTAAACCTCGCCTCAGGATGGGCAAATTGACTTTGAAAACGGGGACAAGGCTGGTCTCAGAGGACAGTCTGCGGATCCCTGAGACACCTTCTGCTACTGCTATCTGCTTCCTATGGAAATAAAGAGGGAAAATATTGCTCTGTGCTCATAAAAACGTCTGCTCTTACTAAATGTTGTAATTTTATAAAGCCAGACCGATAACGGATCTCTTAATGATTAGATTACAGTACGAACAAAGCATACAAAAGTCTTTTTCTATTTTTGTTCCCGAACAAAAGAAGAGAATGAAAGTAATTACTATCCACACTATCTGCACTTACGCAGCTGACATCATTGGTTTTATTAAGCATCTCCTCCACTCATGGCCTACATCTGCCCTCATTTATCTCTGATGTATTTTCTTCCCTCTTTCTTTTTCATGTGAAAAAATAAAGGAAGACACGAAGATAAATTTCCTCCGAAACATTGAATCATCTTTTATGGATTCTTTGGGTGGCTATCTTCTTCTGCGACTAGTAATCTTTGGCAAGCCTTATTGTCACGCAGCCATAGCAATTTGACTTTTTTAGATACAATTGGAATTGATGGTGTGTCTGTCAATTGTTTCCCTTGCTTTTTTGATCGATCTTAATTCACCATAACCCATGTAACTCAGCTCTGTAACCTTTGGGTGGCTCTATCGATTTATGACGCCATAGGCCTTTCGACCTCAACCATTCAATTAACTGGAAGGATACAAACCTGTACGAAAAAATAGAAAAATAGATTTTACTGCATCACAACGGTTGAAACTGCCGCAATAGCGAAGTAAGTCTGCAGCCTTCTAAAGATTGGTGGTTCATATTATGTGTTGACATATCCCAGCACTAAATGTATAACTGGCAATCGACAAGTGTCTTTAAGTTGCTCTTGCTTTTTCTGCGCTGTTCCCTTGTTCGAGGACTTTTACCTTTTCTTAACTGGGTAAAGTTCAGCCACCATGAATCTAAAATGTAATGCATTCAAATATACTAAAATGAAAATTACAACAAATATTCCATAGTGTTACCTGATTGAGTAATGTAAAACGAATGGGAATTTTTGGCCACAGCTGACATTGTTAAAGTTAACAGACTTCTTCCTGGGGTTTCATATGACTGTACGTGGACCATGATTAGAGAGTAGGAGTGCAACAGACTGTTATACCTAGTAGCAGTCAGCTGAAGGTCAACGTGGAAGAAGCAAAGACCTTATAGAATGGTTGAAGTTTTAGAAACACTTTCAAATACCTAGATAATTTGACCACCCTGTTAACATCCATATGTTTTCATCTGTTCACTACCAGTTTGTATTGCAGAAAATTTCAAGCGCAAGTTCAGTGACCTGTGTATTTGTACTTGAGTTATTTTGTCCCCCTTGCCACAGAGCCAAAAAGGATATGGTAAATGGTAAATAGACTGCACTTAAGTATATAGCGCTTTATCCAGACTTTATGACCCCGCAAAGTGCTTTAAAAAGTTAATGTCATCATTCCCCCATTCACACTTCATTCATACAGACAACAATGTGCCATTTTTGCTCATGGAAGCTAACATTCACATACATTCACACACCGTTGGTCCTGCCATCGGCAGTAACTAGGGGTTAGGTATCTGGCACAAGGATACATCGACATGTTGACTGCACTGGGCTGGGATAGAACCTTCCGGTTGAAAGACGAATGCACTCCCTTGCAGCCACAGTCCCCCCCATACGTATACAATTGCCCTTGTCAATTAGTGGACTATCCCTTTAAATATACATTTTGGATAAAAAGCTTTACAGTGACTTCTTAAATCAGCAAATAGAAGAACGACATTAAAACTGCAGCCCCTATTGATCTGCAGATGGCTGCGAAAGCGAGGACCAATCAGCAGCAGAGGCAAATACTTTGGAGGTCCTTCACTCACACCGAAGCTCAAGGAGCTGTCCTGTCCTCTGTCACAGCCAACAGCCACTTTATACATTTTATAGCTCTGACTTCGTTTCAGACTACAGGCAGGTCCAGGAGCAAGATGTTAGTGGAGGGGGGGGGGGGTTAATCCCAGGCCTCCATCTGTCCGACAGTGGGCACAGAGTCCTGCCTCTGGTCTGATTACACTGCAACCAGCTGGTGACGGCCTGTGGCAGTGCAAGTCCAAGTGTCTCACTTTTGGAGTGTTAATAAGTGGTCCTTAGTTATTTATTTTAGTTGTTTTGCATTTAATGCATGTCAGGGTGTTACACAGTAACCAGGTGGTGCAAAATGTGTGTACAATGATCCTCTTGTGGACTAGGATTGTGATGCTTATAACATTATCCTGACAAACTATTACATGACATGTTTCCATACACAAGTATGTTAATATCCCTGTTTACACACTCTGTGCACTTTTAATTTGTTTTTAAAGAGGACAGATCTGCTCATGTTCAGCTTCATATAAGCATTTAGTGTCTCTACTGTGACATGTCTCAATGCTTTAAAGTTCAAAAAGCTCTTTATTTTTCTTATACTGCCTGTGCTGTACCATCTCTTTGCACCCTCTTTCTGAAACCAGAGCTCAGTCTGCTCTGATTGGTTAGCTGGCCGGCTCTGTTGTGATTGGTCAACTGCTTAGAGATGTCCTTGCCCCTATGATACAGAAGTATACAGCAGGGATTTTAGCCTTTACAGACCATTTACATGCACAAAACCTATATAACACACTACAGGAATGGGGAACGCCACAGAGACCACAAGGAAGGAAGAGGGATTCACCAATCCCACGGCCAAATCCCGCTGAACTACAATTAAGACACCAGAGGAACCAAGCCGAAGGTGAGAAAACGCCAGACAACGGCAACTCACCAATAGTTGCAACACTGCGACCAGGGAGCCTCCGGCGGAGCAAATCCTCCTCAAAAGCACCGGACGTCAGCTGCGCTAAGACAGAGTAGTGTCAAGCCGGGTGTTGCTTGTGCCAATGAATAAATCACAGAATGCAAGAGCTTTACCTGTCTGGTAGAGAGTGTGATGCGCGAGCTGCCATGCCAAACAAAGTACGCTGCCACGCCAGGCTGCAGCCACAAGGGAGAAGCGGAGAGGGGAGGGACCAGATTGGTCACCTCCACTTAAGTAGCAGGTGCGCACAATTGGTGCGCTGGCACGGTGACAAGCAGCGGCACAGAGGGAGAAGACATCCGGTCACATCTGCATGAACACTTTCTATGTATCTCTCTATGCTCTACTCTCTTTCTTTCTGAGAATTGGTTAAATTATGTTTAAACATCGCTATCGTTGAATCACAATTCACCTAAGTTTCCACCACCACCAACTCAGAGAGAGGGTCGACTCGCCACATACATATCTTTCCATATTATATATATTGTTCTCTTCATTGCTATATCACAGTATCATAAACACACTTTATTCCATGTTGGTTTCTAGTACAGTCTTTTCCTATATGTATAATATACCATTGGTTGAATGAGGATATGTGTCCTAGGACAAGGTTCTGAAAGCAGGATTTTTAAGACAGGTAGATTTGTGCTGTTGTATTGTTTGAAATGTACTACGATCTTATATAATCCCACCGTGCATGCTGGGGCGGAAGGAAGATCAGCATCAGTCCGGATGTCTTCCTCCTCAGTGACAGCCTGTCTGACTGAAGAGCTTTGAAACTGTCCATGTCCCGGTTCCAGAAGATGACACTACTTTAACAGAGGATCGCTGAAGCCCCTGACACTCTGACTGTAAAGACTTGACATGACAACATGAATGTGAATACAAAAGTTTTGAAAAGCAAGCATCAGCTCTACCAGGGAATGATACAGTGCCCCCTGGTTAAGAAATAATGCATACTCTTTAACTATTCATGGAACATTGGGCCAATTGTCTGTCACATCAATAAAGGGGGACGTTCATCCAGCAATCAGTCAGTGAGCCGGTGATGGCATCAATAAGACTGTGACGCTCCTCTTCCTCCTGGAGCCTGCCCCAACACACACATTCAACACATAGAAGCTCCCTGAGAGTTTTGTCAGTGGCTGATGAAGAGTGAGTTTGGACAGAAGTTCATGTGGTGGAAATCGATCAATCAATCAATCAATTCAAGTCAACAAAACTCTAAATTAATGCTAATATTCCCCTCGAATGTGCCATGCGTGAGATGGAGATATGTAACTGTTTGCTCACGGGTATCGATGGGTATCGTTAGGATTTTATCGACACCGATACTGATACTGCTTATCGATACCGGTATTTTTCAAGATATGAAGATTAAACAACAGTCATTTTATTGTAATTTATTTGTATTTATTATTTAATGTACCTTTTTCAATGTCAAACCAAGCAGGTATGAGTGTGATTGACAGTGTGTCTCTGGAAGGGGGGGGCGATAATTAGGGGCAGTTCATAAATCCATGTAAACATAACCATTATTCAGTTAAAACGAGACGCATGCGTGCGCACATCCTAAACCTGGAGCTCCGGTCGGCTAACCATTGTAATGATCGATTATCAGTAATCATTTTAAAGTTACACAGAATCATTGGATTAACCGTTGTTATGCCCTTGAACACAACTTTTGATCACAAAACAGCAAAGGTAAGACATAATTATCATCATGGCTACGTAAAGTTAAGTTTTTTTCTTGCTCTTTCTTGGCTGATAGTTCAGTGAGTGTTGGTCGTACAGTGATGAGACTTATACCAATGGAATCTGTGGAATAACAGCTTTCATGTGATATGTCATTTGTGCAGATAACATGACGTAGAAAAGATCGCTTTTGTCAGTTATGTGCTAAAGTAGCCGTTAGCCCCGTTTTGCTAAGTGTTGATTTAGACTCTTGGTGTTGGACTTCTGTTCCATGTAGGTAATGATTCATATAGTCATCGCCTCATTTGCATATCATGTAATGGCGGCTGTAGGAGAGAGGAGTAAAAAAAACGTTCCACCCTTCAAGGATCAAAAGTTGAAACCACCAGAGTAAATCCAGACGACAGTAGATCAGAAATGTCTCTATTAGAAAAATTAGAAAGTAGAAATAGTTTTAATAATTTTTTGTAGAAATATCCCTTACAATAAAGGCAGTATGCCCGTGTGTCATCTCCAATAAATGGCTTCAACCATCCTTTAAACTCAGGGTTTGATTCCCACTCCTTTCTGTACTTTTGTGATTACAGTTTAGACTGTGACATGATGACCTACGTCAGGGGTCCCCAAACTTTTTTCTCTGGGGGCCACATTATCGTTCCTGACTGTGATGAGGGGCCGGGATCGATCATGTGGGCTGTATACTAGGCCACTGCCTGTTATAGCCATAATTTCTAGCACAAAATAGTTCATCATTACAAGTGATTTGCAAAAGAAGTGAGTACTTCACATGTTTTTCAATTTGAAATACCACAGGTATTCCTTTTATTTTCTAATAACAACCATGTAAAAATAGCAAGGAAAGGTTAGAAAAACATGGTGATTGACAGTTTATGAGTGATACAATAGAAATGGTAGGCCTATATTACAGTGAGATGAGAAATCATCAAGTCAAGAAACTTGGTGAACAATATATCAACTAACCAACTCTTATTTGTATATTCAGGTGAGATTTTTTTTGTTCAAGGTGAAAATGCAATGAGCACCCAAACACTTTTACAGCACAATTATCATCCCTTTGAAATAGGAGATTGAGACGGCCAGGCCGGCGGCGGCGCCTACTTTCGTTTATTTTTAGGTTGCTCTTTGTCTGAAAGAGTCTACTTTGTAACGTAGTTGAAACTCTAACGTTGGAGTGATCCGATCGGTGGGTCTGTAGCCTTGCCGAAGAGCTGTCGGTCTTTCGTTCGGTGGTGTCAAGTGGTGGACTAGTACCATCTATATGACTAAAAATATTGATAATGTTAAAAATACCGCCACATCCTTGTGAGGCTTGATCTAAAAAACCTACCGTTTCCACTACGTAATTACAAAAATCTAACTATAAAATTAACTTATTCAACGATGTGGACATAAACATTTTAGTGCTAGTGTTCCTTTATGTTGTCCGCTCGTAGAAATACATTAATCGACTTACACCAGGTTACAGTAGGAGGCCACATACGGGATTCCAAAGGGTCCGTCGTTCTGCTCCCTGACGTTGACGAACTGGGAGTTTCTAGTGACGCGCCGGCCAGGCTAGGCAGAGAAGCCGGTGGGCCGAGTGTCCGTAGTGGCGCTTAAGTCCGAGGCGGGACCCTCCAGACGTATCTGTACTCGAACGCAACTGAAGGTCTCAAGACCCACCCCTGAGAGAAGCATCAAAGTTCCCGGGACCGCCGGCCTCCCACAATGACCAAGGCGGGCTCCAGAGACCTGGAGCGGTAGAAGAAGAGAAGTCGTCAGACGGCGCGCAGAGGGTACGCACCCCCACGCAGGAGAGAGAGGAGAGAGACGGCCAGCAGACGAGAGGAGGAGAAGGAGAAAGAGGAAGAAATACGTG